ATGAGGTAATTAGAAGGGATGAATGAAGCTTTTGCAAGCAATAGCCCACAAAAATGTTCTGCAATACACAAATAATTTACCATAATACAATTGACTGAAAGGTGTAGAAAATACAATACCACACTACGCCTATCATTTGCTGACTATTAGAAAACATTGGATCTGATAAAGCAAGATATTACCCTAAAGGCTCTCCTCCAGCAAGGAATACCACCCCCACATATATGTCAAAAATATATTAAGATTCTTTAAAAGTTATAATCACAAAGACAGAATTGTATGAGATCCCTCTGATCATTTATATAAAGCAAGGTAGAAGACAAGGAAATAACCAGATGTGTTTACCACTTTTGTGGAGGACATTTCAGAACATATCCCAAGATACAAAAGGATTTCCTATGGATTGTGAGGTTGTCCAGATACTCCTATCTGTAAATAGTGTGAATTATAAGTCCTGTATCATGGAACAGCATTCTCTTTCAGATCTATAAAATATTTGAGTAAGATCTGTGCATACATACATCAAGGGTAACTTGGATTTTAAAAAGAGGCAGGTTCACAAAGACTCTTTTCTACAGCAGAAGACATCTTCAAAGTCACTCAGTTGTCTGAAGGGTATTCAAAATAGCATATTTATTTTGTGTCTTTTGCTTACTGAATCCACAAAATAGAGAAGCATCAAAAATGGAGGTATATGCTTACCAAAGATCTCCACCATAGAGTATGCACGTGACAAAGTTTAAAGGAAAAAGGTGGTGGATATGGGATGATACTGGATGTGAGAGGCAATATGAAGGGATAGCTGGCTTTCAAGACAAGGCCAGGGTTTAAGTCTTACCTCTGTCACATACTGTCTGTATGGCCCTGGGCAAATCACTTAACCCTACAATTCAACTCTCAAAGACTAGAAATTGCAGCAAAGATGCTGATTTGCCTTGCTAGGTGAGGTGGAATTTACTCACCTCTCAATGAATTCACAAACCCAGCCCCTATTCCCTATTGTATCTCTGAATCAAGACCTAGGATAATATTAGGTCTTATCAATGAGATTCATAGTCACTCAGTAGAGACCTAGCTATCAATCAAAATAAGAAAAAAGTCAAGTGGATAAAGAACATATGTTGTCCAGATCATGACATGCAGTTGGATGGGAAAGATACTACATCTGACTCTCTAGAATTTTTATTTTCTTTTTAGGCAATTGGGGTTAAGTAACTTGCCCAGGGTCACACAGCTAGTAAGTGTCAAGTGTTTGGTCTGAGGCCAGATTTGAACTCAGGTCCTACTGACTTCAGGGCTGGTGCTCTTTCCACTGTGCCACCTAGCTGCCTTCTCTCTAGGCTTTTAAATACTGTCTCTCCAACCGACTCCTCCCCAAGCCTCGTTTTAAAGCTCTCCTTTATGTGTTGTTTTCTCCCATTAGAATGTATGTTCCTTGAGGCTAAGGACTGTTTTATTGTATTTTTCCCCAGTACTTAAAATAGTACCTAGTATATGGCAAATGCTTAACAAATACTCTGTCTAGCTATCCACAGATTATAATGAGCTGCGTCAGAATGGAAAAGGAGGAGAAAATCAGGCAGGATCATGTTAGGAAATTGCTCAGTGCTTTCATTGCTTTGAAGCTGTCTGTTGCCATGCTAAGCCATTTTTCAAGGCTAGTATTTTCATAATGATTTGATGTGGCTACAAATCATGGAACACCATGACCTGAGAATTATCAACAAAGTAAGTGATTGAAAAGACTATGAAAAGAAACACAGTGGATCGTAACAGTATATTACCAATAATTACTTGCACTGAAGAAATGATGTGAAAGACATCATCAAGGACGTGTATGATCACAGGGAAGAATGAGAGCCAGTCTGTGTACTGTACTAGAGTCCTTGAAATATGAAAAGAAATAAAGGAGGTTGCTAGTGTGTTAGATAGATATTTTATAGAGAATTTATGCACAAAATGGAAAGATGTGGATGAGTTATAATCCTCCCTGTTCTCCTGTCCCCCAACCCCAGTCTTTTTTCTCTAACGCAGGGAATTTTCCCTTTTTGTGTTATGGACTCCTGATAAAGCCTGAGGATACTCTCTCAAAATCATGTTTGTAAATGTATAAAATAATATATATAAGATTTTAGGAAACCTCAATTATTTTGAAATACAATTATAAAAATACAATCTTTTTTTAAAAGTTTATGGAGTCTAGATTCTGCTCTAATGGTATTCTCCCTTTCTGCAACACATATACATATATGTGTATGTATGCATGTATGTATGTATAATATACATATATACTTTGTTGTTCCATCACATTCAACTCTTTGTGACCACATTTGGTATTTTCTTTGGCAGAGATACTGGAGTGGCATATCATTTCCTTCTCCAGCTCATTTTACAGATGAGGGACTGAGGCAAACAGAGTTAACTGACTTGCCCAGGGTTATACATATAATAAATGTCTGAGGCCATATGTGAACTTTAACTCAGGTCTTCCTGACTCTAGTCCCAGCATTCTATCCATTGTACCACCTAACTGGCTATACCTATATCTATCTATCTATCTATCCATCTATCTATCTATTTATCTATCTATCTATCTATCTATCTATCTATCTATCTATCTATCTATCCATCTATCTATCTATTTATCTATCTATCTATCTATCTATCTATCTATCTATCTATCTATCTACACATATATACATATATATTATATAGTAATTCACATATTGTATCACCTAAATGAATATGAGCTCCTTGAAAGCAGGGACTGTGTTATTACCTGGTATATATTAAGTACTTTTCGAATGACTGATTGCACTGGTAGGGAGAGTACCCGCATCTAAGAGATGCTGGTTCCACTGTAATATCTATGGATATCAAGGTATCAATAGCTAGATAAATAAATAGATGTAGAGATGACTATACATATGTTTGTATGTATACATATATATGTATATATATATAAATAGACAAAAAAAACCCAGAAATTAGTTAACTTCATGCTCTGTATGTAAATGATTAAATATACCCAGTATAAGAAATAGGGAATAAGAGCTAATAACCCTTTAAGATTTCTGTTTATTTTGTATTGATAAAATGAGCATTAAATCATGCTTTTATTGACACAGACTGAACCATGCAAACAGGTATTTCCTTGATCCTGACATCATAGATAGAAGATCACTTAACATGTTTTATATGAATTATCTACTCCTGATCTTGTGCTGCATGGATTCAAATCTATGCCAGTCAGCTGCTTCAATCTTAAATTAATAGATGCTATCAGAAGTACTACTTTGGAGGAATGTGAAATTCTGGAGGGGGATGAGGGTATTCTCTCCTTTTACTCATGTATGCACATGCACAGACACACAAAAGAATGCTAAAAAGTGGGTTTTGGGGTTTTGAGTGTGTTTTTTTTTCCCTTGACGTTAGTGCCCATCTCAGTTCTCTAAGCTCAAAATAAGTCTAATTACTCTGGCTATGCTACCTTAATCAGTGACCATTGTGTATACATTGGCAACCATCAGAGGGAAGGCACAATACTAGGGAGAAATTAAAATACATTTTCATAGTTTGCCCTGATTTTTCTACTTCCTTTGAAGTTACACAAAAGTCACAGCGTGCAAGACTGAATCAAAAGCTCCTGAGGCATAAATGTTTTTATCCATAACTCTTTCTCTGTGACACTGGAAACAATGGCGATGCAACACTATCCCAACCTACAAATCTTATCATCAGGGACTTGTCTTTCTCCGTTTGGCAGCCTCATGCTGCCTCTCAGTGCACAGTACTTTTTATAGTCAAGATCCTCACTCTCCCTTTAAAATTTACCTCTCCTAGGTGACATCCCCTTATTTTTTCTCATTATCTTCTGAGGTGACAATTAGCCAATCTTGTAGATGGATTTGTGATAATTGGAAAAGGCTAAAGAAGATTCCCCAGATTACAATCTTTTTCCATAAGTAACAGGTCTCCATAAAAGGTCTCCATAAAACTTTCTGGAGATAATTTTATCTTCTATAACTTTAGGTTTATTAGGAAGGGTGATATACACAGTGGAAGGATGATGTGGGAAGAATTCGAGTAGGCCCACCCTTGTGCTTGAATCCTACACATTCTACCATAACTCCATAAATTTATGCTTATATAACTCCTAGAGACCCAAGAGTTATTTACCCCCTCTGACAGCGTTTTAACTAGTTTAGGCACAGAGTTTCTCTTATATTAATATGGAAAGAGCAAAAGACTCACAGTGAAAAAATGTCTGCAAAAACAGATAGCTTGACATTGTGCTCTTAAGCAAGCAGACTTTTATTACAGAACAGGTATCTACATTTTCCCTATCCATATAGATGAAATTCCCTTTCATTGCTTTTTTTTTTCAATTTGAGAGAAGAATGCATAAATCAGAAGACACCAAAAACTGAGAAGATAAGCACAAAAATAGAAAAGTGTAGAATTATAGTTTTTAATTAGTACATTTCCAGGCAGTTAAAAGACAGACAAAATTGTAAGTTCTGAGGAGCCTTTTGAGTTTATTCCAAGAAATGTATTTTTTCCACATGAGCTACAGAAAACTGCATCCCAAGCTACAGCCCTTCAGAAATTTGTCAACCTCCGTCAGCCAGTACAGAAATGAAAAATTCTCTGTGCTTCATACACCTAGCAATCTGACCTAAATATAACAAATATATTCTAGATTACACACTATTCAATGATATAATTACCTTAAAGGCACCAACTTTTTCCAACCTTCTTTGTTTCTTCTCTCCCCTCATCCTATAACCATTTAAACAATCTATGTTTAAGCTTAGTATTTATTAGGTTTGGTATTATTAAATAATAATAAATAGTCTATGATTATACCCAATTGATATATGCATTTTCTTCTGGCTTTGCATTATAGTTACAGTAAATTCCTGTTCATGCAAAAGAAACGTTAGTTGGCCCCACTGTATTCTCCATAAACACAGTGGCAACTACTGGAGAAAACAAACCTGTTTCCTGAGAGCTATGATGGTTTCTTGAACTTCTGCAGCAAAATGGCTGAAATCCTGAGGAAAACTGGAACTGGACAAATGTGTCATATTTCCTGTATTTCTATCCATCGATAATTTTTCATTATGCCTACAATGTAGGAAGCAAAATAAGATTCAGGGAAGGGGGAAGGATCTGTCAAATAAAATCAACAAAGATGTGGGTGCCTACTATGTGCAAGTCACTGAAATAGGTGCTGTGAAGAATACAAAGGACAAAAAAAATAAAGTCAGAATTAAGGATTTAAAATTAAAATGAGAATAAAGAGGAATAACTCATAGTCATTCTATTAATATATCTTTTCAAATGTATTGAAATCACTTTTTTTCCCTTGACAACTATGAGGAATGTCATGTTGTATTGCAAGTACATTTGGTATATTATTTAGATCTCAGAGGCATGTCTTTTCCTAATGACATTTTTTTTCACTTTACACAGTGACAAAGCTGTGGCAAATTAAATATCACACATTATGCAGCACCCAGGTGGGAAAATTGTTGCTGCATTACATATTCATGGAAATCACAATGCTAAGACAATGATAAGTCTGGCTGTCAAAAATCAAACCTTCTTAAAAAGCCAATTGCAAAATAGCCCAACCCTGCTGAACATGAAAGAATAGAAACTCTGTCAGCTTTTGATGCTTTTGAAAAGTTTGAGGAAAGTTCCTAACAGATAGAAGCAAATGACCAGATGATTATATAGAGTTTGGGGACTGGGAACAAAAGTAAAATCCATTTTGGAATAGAATATTCTGAAGAGAATAATTTCACAAAACAGAACAGAAATCAAAACCTCATCTCAGGTTACTGGGACTACCAGATGTTCCCTGAACTCAACATGCCATTTTGAAACTCCAAGCATGTGTTCAAGCCATCCACTATTTTAAAAATGCATTCTCTTCTCATCACTGCCTTCCAGAATCCTTATCTTCAAGGCTCAAGTCAACTGCTACATCCCCGATAAATATTTCCCTGATCCCCCACCCTTCAACTGAAAGTGTTCCTTAAAGTATCCCAGGGCACTTTGTATTTCTACTTCCCCTGCTTCATAGTCTACATTTTATGTCATTATCTGCATAAATGTAGTATTGTCACCTAGTGAGATATAAGTTCCATAAGGCAGGGAGCATAGAATTGTCTATCTCTGCATCCTTAATAAGAGGTAGCATGTAAGTGGAGAGCAAGCCTCTGAATCAATAGGCCTACATTCAAATCCCACTTGTGATACCACTGGCTGTGTGATATTAGTCCAGGCACTTATCCTCCCAGTGCCCTAGGCAACTCTTTGAAAAACTAAGCTGCGGATAGCCGTCTGCACTGGTAGAAGGAGTTCAATCACTAGGAATTCTCTACACCATTGAAATTACAGCTCTGGGAAAAAATTAAATGTGTCCCTAGTCTTGAACTTAGCAGATGTTTAATAAATATTTGCTGATTTTGTTTCTTATCCTTTGTTTTTGAAGAGGACCAATGACATCACAAGGGTGACATCTTTAATCATATTTGAGTTGTATTTAAGTGAGGCAGACTTGTGCAAAGTTGTTGGCCTCACTTTCTCTTCCATAGTCACTGAAGTCCAGTGGCAGGACAAAACTCAGGATGACTGGCGATGGCCTGGGATGCAGTGGATGACCTTGATGCCAATTACAAAACACTTTTCATGCAAACAATTGTAAAAATATCAATTGCTCATGGGTAGGCTGAGGCAATAGAATAAAAATGAAAATTCTACCTAAATTAATTTACTTATTCAGTGCTATGCCAATCAAACTACCAAAAAAAACTGTTTTAAAGAGATAGAACAAATGATAAAATTTATCTGGAAAAACAAAAGGTCAAGAATATCAAGGGAATTAATGAAAAAAAAATGCAAAGGAAAGTGGCCTAGTGGCAATCATCAAAACTTTTTGGTATTGAATAAGAAATAGAGTGGTGGGCCACTGGAATAGATTAGGTACACAAGACTAGTAAATGACAATAATAATCTAGTATTTGATAAACACAAAGACCTCAGGTTCTGGGATAAAAACTCACTATTTGACAAAAACTGCTGGGAAAACTAGAAAACAGTATGGCAGGAACTAAATATAGACCAGAATCTTACACTATGCCAAGATAACATCAAAATGGGTAAATGATTTAGACATAAAGGATGTTACCACAAGCAAATTAGGACACCAATGAATAGTTTACCTGTTTTATCTATGGACAAGGGAAGAATTTTTGACCAAACAAGAGTTAGAGAGGATCAAGGGAAGTAAAACAGATAATTTTGATCATATTGTTAAAAAATTTTTTTTTGCACAAGCAAAACCAATGCAACCAAGATTAAAAGGAAAATAGAAAGCTGGGAAATAGTTTTTATAGCAAGTGTCTCTGATAAAGGCCTCATTTCTCAAATATAGAGAACTAAGTCAAATTTATAAAATATAAGTATTCCCCAGTTGATAAATGGTCAAAGGATATGAGCAGGTGGTTTTCAGATGAAGAAATTAAAGCTATCTATAGTCATATGAAAAATGGTATAAGCATTACTGATTAGAGAAATGCAAACTAAAACAACCCTGAGGTACCACCCCCCATCTATCAGACTGGCTAATATAACAGAAATGGAAAAAGATAAATGTTGGAAAAGATGTGGGGAAAATGGGACACTAATGCACTACTGGTAGAGTTGTGAACTGATCCAAACATTCTAGAGAGCAATTTGGATGATGCCCAAAGAGCAGTAAAATTGCACATACTCTTTGATCCAGCATTACCACTACTAGGAGGGGCCATCTCCAGTTGTCCTGATCTATGTCTTGCCACTGCACCTGGGTCCAGATGGCTCCAGAGAAGAAAGGGAGCCTGGTGACCTTGCACAGCCCTCCCTCACTTAAATCCGATTCACTTGCAAGTCATGGCATCATCTTCCTGATGTCATAGTCCTCTTTGAGAACAAAGAAGAAAAAACCACCACCACCACTACTAGGTCTGTATCCCAAAGAGATCATAAAAAGGGGGAAAGGGCCTACAGGTACAAAAACATTTATAGCAGCTCTTTTGTGGTGGCGAGGAATTGGAAATTGAGGGGATGCCCATCAATTAGGCAATGGCTGAACAAGGTGTGGTATATGAATGTAATGGAATACTCTTATGCCATAAGAAATGACAGGCAGGCAGATTTCAGAAAAAAAAACTGAAAAGACTTACATGAACTGATGCAAAATGAAGTGAGCAGAACCAAGAAAACATTGTATAGGGTAACAACAACACTTCCGATAATCAACTATGAATGACTCAGCTAGTCTCATCAATACAATTATCCAAGACAATTCCACAGGATTCATGATGGAAAATGCTATCCACTGGGGCAGCTAGGTGGCGCAGTGGATAGAGCACTGGCCCTGAAATCAGAAGGAACTGAGTTCAAATCTGGTCTCAGACCAAACACTTGACACTTACTAGCTGTGTGACCTTGGGCAAGTCACTTAGCCCAAATTGCCTAAAAATAATAATAAAAAATGCTATCCACATCCAGAGAAAGAACTGAAGGAGTCTGAATGAAGATAGAAGCATACTATTTTCATTTTTTTTCATTTTTTTTTCCTTTTGGTCTGTTTCTTCTTTCACAACATGACTAATATGGAAATATGTTTAACATTTTTGCACATATATAACCTATTTCAAATTGCTTACCATTTTAGGTAAGGGAGAGAGGAGGAGAAAATTTGGAACAAAAAAAATTTAAATGAAAGTTAAAAATGCCATTACATGTAATTGGAAAAAATAAAATGCTATTTAAGACAAGGAGTGGAAGACAGAGAAAATACATTGCCATTAATTTTTTAAACAGAGAGATGGGAAGTACTACAGATATAAAATACTGCATGCATTTTCAGATGATTTCACTTAACTTTTAGTTCTACTTCTCCCTTTCACTTTATTCCAAGAGACATCTTACAAAGTAGGAGTAATCTATAAATGGATGTAATATATAAACACACCACAACAATATGACCAAATGTGATCAAAAAAAAAAAAAGAAAAGAAAAGAAAAAGTTTATGCGGCCAGAACAGTCATCACTCTGCAAACAATCTAGTGATTAGTATCTCTCAACTCAGTGGGGTTGGTCTTCAGACAACAGACACATAGTCCATCCCTATATCTGCACAGAAAGTCTTTTAAGCTTTGTTGGACCTGCTAGGGCTTGTGCTCTGAAGTAGCAGCCTTTAGAAATCCAGGGTCATGTCAGGATGAGGCATGAGAGGCTCCCTTTCTTTTCTGATCAAGAGCCTTCAGGTCCCATGATGCAGGCACTCTTGTTTTACAAGGTCTGGCTAAAAGAGATCTTACTTTATTTTGGGGGGAGGTGCACAATGGAAAACAGGAAATTTATCTTAGGTTACATACCGTTTAAGTTCTAATTTCCTACATTTGCCTACCTCTTTCTGTGTGTCTATTACTGAGATAACTGTTGAATTAAATCCATGTGAAGCAGCAGCTAGGGGACACAGTGGATAGAGCATTGGCCCTGAAGTCACGAGGACCTAAGTTCAAATCCTGCCTCAGACCAAACATTTGACACTTACTAGTTGTGTGACCCAGGGCAAGTCACTTAACCCCAACTGCTAAAAAAACAAACAAACAACAACAACAAAAACTATGTGAAACTAATTAAAATCTGTCTACATACTCATTTTCTCATAAAGAGAAAATCTCTTTATTCCATGAGTAGTAAATTTTTTTAAATGCTTGCATAAACATATGTATAAACAAATAAACAAGCATATTATTTGCTCCATAAAACAATAGAAAATTCCTGGAATGGCAGAAATACCAAACTGAAGATTCTCAAGTGTTACCTTTAACTGATTAGTCATCTGCAGAAGTATTATTTTATACAGTTGTGGAAAGGTCAAGTTCAGCAAAGATGAAACAATAAAGCAAAAGCAATCACGAGTTGATTGACTTCACAGAAAAGATCTGAGGCTTCTAGTTCACTGTGTACTTCTAGTCTTGGTGACTTAACTTCACTTTTAGACTTTAGTATCTGTATAAATAGTAGAGTCCACAAAATATTTCTATCTCTTTTAAAGATGCCT